CCATGTAGGCACTCAGACCTATTGATAAAACCCACTTCATGAAGGACAAAAGGAAATATATGGATCTCATTTAAAAAAAAAAGCAAAGAAAAGGTAAAGTCCGTCAGAGGCTTTGGGTTCCTGAGATGGTCAAGGGGAATAGAACACAATACAGAGCTAGTTTTTCCATTATTTCTATTGTAAGTAATAGAAAACACATATAGAAAGGATGCAGGTGGAGATGATCTTGTATCTTTGATATGCAGAGCATGAGAAAATGTCAGAAAAATGAACTTTACATTAGTACTACCAGCATATTAGCCACCAATCCACATCTTCAGATTTCACTACTTTCTTTTTTTGCTGAGCCCTCTCTTATAGTCCCCAATGAAGCACCAAATCAAGTTCAGTTTGATATATCTCATGCACTGAATTCATCCATATCATTCCTGCTTCCTATCCTGCATATAGGCGGAATCTGGCTTTGAAAGCATCCAAAAAAGAGCCAGGAGACGTAACCAAAACATTCAGGGTAGTTAGCCCCTGTGGAGGAAAACTTGACCAGTGGGAAACAAAGAATGGCATGGAGGGCCTGGTGTAAGGAATCCCCTTTTCTGTATTTTCTACCCAATATATAATTCTTATCTGCAGCACATGGAAACATACCACATCTGCTATGAATTCTTATGTATGGCTTTAAAGCTCATCATGAAGTGGTAGTCCATGCAATGAAACATCACATTTTTTCTTGTACTATATGTATTTCAAATCTTTGGTTTTCCTTGGGGTCAGCTTTTTATAAGATCTGGACTAAAATAATTGGTATAGGAAGAACATCAAGAAAGCAGATGCTCACTTATGTGGAGCCAACAGACCCTATTGGTGGCAATTGGGGTGGTATTTATTCCTCTATCTTTTATTAAGAATGAAGTGTACATAGAATGCAAGGGCATGGGAAGTCACTGACTGTTCCAGTGTGTAAAACAGATGAATTCAAAAATATGCATTAGGATTGCTTCTTATGACAGCCTTAGACAATGTACAAGTAGAAAATGACAGCTGAAGATTAATCCTCCCACACATAAACAAAAAAGAATTCTTTGAAAGCCAAATTATCTAAGTGGTAGCTTTATTGGAGACCTTTATCTTCTCTATCTGTGGCCACCCATACTGAAAATCATGTCTAGGATGGGGTTATTTAATGATAGAACTGAAATGGAGACTAAATACACAGCTTTAAATGTTTTCTGTCATATTTAAAGCACTGGGGGTAAAAAAGAGCAGGACATTGAGGCTTGGGTGGGAAATATTTATGTGGATAAACACAATAATCTTGAAGGCAGAACAGTACTGAAGTGTCCTTGCTAAAGTAAAGTAGCTCCTTTCTGTAGACTGAATAATGAAACACCTAAATTGGATACCTTGCACAATGATGAATTTCTTTCAAGTCATAGACTCATCATCCCATGTTGCTAATTTTAGGGACTCTATCTTTGTTCTGCTAACTCTGTAGGCTTTATTTTCCAGATCAAGACAAAAACAATGTACTAAAATGGTTTCTGGGGGCCAAGGATGTAGCTCAGCAGCGTAAGCGCTTCCCTGGCAAGCCTGAGGTCATAAGTTTGATTCCCTGAACCAAAAAAAAAAAAGGCTCTGCAGACATCTGTGGCCTTTAAAATGGTTTCTGGGGCCAAATAGTATCTTCAAGGAAAAAGTAAAAAATTCAATTTAAAAATAAGTAACTTCATTATGATGGATGACATGTATCTGTGAGATAAAAGTGGTAGACTAAAATATACAAAAACCTCAATTACCTCTGCATCAGTAAGGTTTCATGAAAGACATAACCATTAAATGCTGTTTGACTTTATATAATTATAGATACTGCCTAAAGATCCTCTGTAAAGTTGATGTTTTCATGCTTAATGTGATGTGAGAGCAGTAGGAAAGGAAGATGGATATCACATGGAGATAGAAAGAAAACAAACTTATTAGGACAAATTGAAACTCAACTTGATGAAGTGAGTATTGTTAAGGAGAAACCCACACCTTTGTCTTGGTTACTTTTCCTTCTCATTACTGAGACAAATACCTGACACCCAAAATTAAGAAAGGAAAGGTTTATTTAACTCAGAGTTTGTGGAGATTTCAGTCCATACTCAGCTGGCTCCAAGGTAGGGTGGCACATGTCAGAGGGCAACTGTTCATGACAGCACAAACCAGCAAAAGCAGCAAGAGCAAAAGGGAGGAGTGACAGGAGCAAGCCTCTTTCCCTCCCTTATATCATGTGCAGGTTCCCTGCCCCAGGGCGGGCGTAGCACTCAAACCCATAATCTCAGCATTGGACTATGGATCAATCAAAAAGTCTAGAAGCCTGCCCCATGATTGCATGAGACTTTGAGGGACATCCAGACACAAACTGTAACAATCTTTTATCATGAAACTCAACAGACATGGCCCAGGACTGAAGGTGAAGGAGACCCAAAGGGAGGTGGGACAGCCATATCAGTCCTGCAGGCAAGCAACAGTATAAAAAACAGTATAAAACCAGTATGAACCATAAAAGCTCTTGCCTCAACTTTCTGAGTGTTAAAAATACATCTTTTATTTTTCATGAAAAATTTTCCTTGTGACCCAACCTAAAGGAAACCTACAGGAAAAATAATTCTAGGAAATGTAGTTCAATCTAGCCAGTTGACATATTACAGTGCTGAGTCTCTTTAAATTCCCTGAATTATTCCTCTCCTTTCTCCTTTCCACAGATTACTTTGATCTACAGATCTTCCTTAGGGTCCACCCAAAAGAATTCTCTCTGCTGAATGAATGTATTTGCCAAGTGATCTATTGTGTCACTTCTCATCCCATCATGAAGCAGGTATGCAGTGTGACACCTCATTACCTTGTATTGTTTCAAGTTTGTGACTTGTCTCCCACTTTCCACATTTTCACCCTCAGAACTTGCTCATCCCCATTAATAATATAGCATATCAATCCTTTTTGCAAGCTCTGTGGGCTAAGAAATTGAATAAAACCACAGGCAATCTGAAGACCCAGCTAAGGCTATGGATGATGAATTTGAAGTGGAAAACTAGATTCCATCTACTTGCTCAAGAATAAGCACAGAAAGAAAACGAGGCTTGTTTGATTCATTTAGGGCTAGGATTTTGTCAAAACTATTCATGAAAAATTTTTCACATCTTATACCTGTAACCAGTGACATTTCAGACCCAGTTTGTATTCCATTCTTCCTACTTATTCCATCAGTAAAAATTTTGATGGAGGAAAAATATAAGGTCATTCTGCAAGGAAGAACTTCATAAGTTAGATCCTACCTCTACAGTATATCTATCTCACTCAAAGTAAGAAGAGGACATACAGAGCAATAAAATATGAGATGCCATTGCTTTGGTTTCCATGTCATAATGAGCTTTGAAGATGTATCTCTGAGAGCAGCCTGGCCTCTTAGTAAAGAGAAGAAAGCGGCAGCAATGGGGAAGTTCCTACAGCTGCCAGAAAAGGAGAATATTAGACCTTTATGTCTCTCATTGCTTTGCCCAGAATAAATCTGAACCTTAGCACATGCATGACATTCACTTTTACAATTTTCTTAACCTGTAAGAAATATTATGCAAAACACTTCTGTAAGATTTATCAAGATTTGCAAATCCAAAACTGCTCTTGCAATATATAATCACTTTTGAGATAAAGAGGAACTACAGAGTAGTGAAGAAATAGTAAAAAGGTCACTCTCTACATTTTAATTAAACCAACATTTATTAAGCATTCCTTATAGGCCACATAAAACAGATGACACTGAGTATATAAAAACGAATTAGGGCCTGATTTCAGTATAATGCGATGGAGAGCACTGTGAAAGAGGAAGCGTGAAGGGCAATGACAGGAAGAGCGTCTATTCCTGGGACTTAGAGAAGACTTCTGAAAGAAATGACAGTTACCTCAGCTTTGGAGGATAATTGGAGGTTAGTCAGGCAAAGGAGGGGCCCGTGGAGTTTCAAGATGACCTTTGATGTTGGTTTATCATGCACTTTCTAAGTAGTTAAATATGCTAAAAAAAACCTCACATGTCACTCCCAAAACCTCATTCCTTTACTTGCTTCACTCTTCAAAGTAGAGGGCAAATGAAACAACTTCTTCATTTGAGCAACAGCACAGAATGACAGTACCACAGAGCAAAACGGAACTAAACTTAGGGCTTTTCAGAAATGGATTTTACATTTCAATAAATACATGAATATCCTATTTAGGGCTGTTTTTCATGGATGCGCAGGTCTTTCCCAAGTACACTATTTGCAGCTCAAGTCCTTTCAGTAGTTAAGCTCATGTCTGGAACCTCATGGGGTGATATGAAAGACAGGGAGAAAGACAGGATGACAAAAAAAAACAATAATTTTCACTTATTTATGTTTTTAAAAAGTGTGCTTTGGGATTCCTACTACATTATCAGCACTAAGCTCTTTTTTCTTTAGAAAAACATCTCCTTCTGAGGGAAATAAGAATAACAGCCAAATCATGTTTTAAAGCAGCAAGGTGTTTCTCACAGTTTACCCAGAATCTCTGCCTGCTCCAGCACTTAGTACAGTAATGACAGAAGCAACAAAGGAAGCCAGTTACATGTTATCATCTGCCCCAAAAGCTGATCGTTATAACAAGCCATGCAAAACAACTGGGTGAGATGTGTCTCTCCTCCGCTCTTTTTACTCACTTTTACGCTTTATTTGAGTCCTCAGGTTGAAATATCAACAGACTACATTTTCATCCAATTTTCTGATGTTTTTCCTAATTCTTGCCAAACATCCACACAGACATAAGTGAATACTTTGGAACCTTTCATTAAAAGTGTCTGAACTATGCAGAAAGAAAATAAAAATGTAAACAATACCAGGTTAAAACCATAGGGTAAGTCCTTGTTCCAAGAAAAATTATTATCATTTCTTTCATATGGTGTCTACATGGTAGATAATGCTTCTTCCTGCCTCCTTCTGCTCATGGTTGATACGTACGATTTAAAGCACCCAACACGGGTGTATAGTCACGGTGAGTTGATGTGAACTACTGCAGGCGGGGCTGGAGGACAGAAGCGTGTACTGCATCTCCCCACACGCCCCGCGGTCGTGACTAAAAGTCAGCCGGGAGCCTCAGACTTCAGCAGATTTCTACCAAAGTCCTCCCGTATTTCACTACCAGACCCTTCCCACAATTATCTCACCAAATTCTTTATCACTGTTCGGTCACGGCACAATTGTCTGAGTCAGACTTCCTCCTCCAGAATCGTTTCCCTCAGGGTTCTCTCCCCTCTTCCTGTCTCTCTCCATCTCTGAAAGCCTCCCAGTGAGCCTCTGGGATGGGACTGTCAGATTAGAGCCTCTTCCCTGCATGTTCACAGCAGCTTCTTGGAAAACTTGACTCTTCCCTAAGAACACTACCTTCTCCACTATTTCTCCCTCCTTAAATTTTATGTCATTGAGCTTCTCCTGCTTCTATTTAAAATCTCAGTGCACTCTTTTCTTGCCTACCCCCACCAAAACAAAACAAAGCAACAACAGATTTCAGTGCAGTCTATCAAGCTATCTACTTCATTCTTCTGCTAATCCTCAAGTCACACTTTCCATTTTTTGAAAATTTTATCTACTACTCACTAGCGCACTCGCCATTACTACTTCTTACATGGCTATGATCCTTGTTTCACTCATGGTCTTTTGGTCATTTTGAATAGGGCCATATTTCACCATCAAAAGTGTTCCAGTTTGGCCAATAAATTATCTAGCAACTATGGCTATAATTACTGGTGTGTATAACAAGCAAATAGATAATCCTTCCAGCCCTATATCTTCTCACCCAATGATATCACTGTACACGCTCACTTGGCCATTCAGCAATCATGCCGTAGTTCTTTCTCTTTACCAAGCACTAAACTGGCTCCTCCAAAATCTTGATTTCTATTTCCCCACTTTCTGACTTTTCTCACTTTCTCAAGGGACATTTGTTATCAATCTAACTTCTCCAACTCTTCTTCCTACAGTTGACCGCTTCTACCATTATTCCTTCTCCCTTGCATCTATATATCTCTATTTCCTTACATATGAAACATAAATTCCCTAATGAGCCATTAAAATCCACCCAGTGGATACACTCGCAGTTTTTGTTTCTCCTGCCCTTTGTCTTGTTGGCGCCCAGGCTGTGATATGTTATGGGGACCTAACTACATAACTTAAGCCACCTCCCCAGTTCTAGGTCAGTGTGACGTTGCTTCCGGTACAAGGAGGCACGCAGAAGGCTGTGCATCCCCGGCTATAGGCAGAATGCTGAGACCCCAGCATACCTCAGGCAAAATAACATCTTAGAGCAGTTATCAAAGTACAGGCATCTAGGTACAGAGAAAATCTTCTTCCTCATTAATGTATTCATTATCCACCCATTCTCTATGGTTGCTGCTCTGTGAAATGTGTGCCACCGGTCCCCTGCACTTCCTGCTAGCTAAGCAAAGCAAGCCAGCCTCGGAGGTGGCTGAGCCAGTCCACAAGAGGCGAACTCCTCCCAATCCCCCTTATACCCTGAAATTTGTCTCTGTCTTTCTTTATTACCTGTCATCTTCTCCCACAAGTATTCAAGGATCTGATCAGCCCTCAGGATCATCTTATTCCCTTGGCTAAACCAAAACCTTAGTTAAGTTTCTATTTTCTGCCTGTTTCATGCTTGCACGTGATAGTTTGTTAGTTTGGAAATAGACATATGTGCATATGTCTCATTATTATTATTGTTGTTGTTGTTGTACTGGGAATTGAACTCAGGACCTTGAGCTTTCCAGGCAGGCACTTGTGCAACTGGGCTATATCCCTGGCCCCTGCATCATTATTTTAACTATGCTAATAGTTTAACTTTGTGATCCCTTCCAGTTGGGCCATAATACTGTGTGCTAAATACTGTGTATTTCCTCAGTGATTCACTGTTGCACCCACCTCAGTGACTCCATACATCCTTCTCCCTCATCCTTTTACTAAAGCTGATGAATTTGCCTGTACTTCACAAAGGAAAGAGAAGCACCCAGAAATGAACTCCCTCAAGACCTCCGCATCCCATCTATTCACCCCATGCATTTGGACATTGCCTTCTATCTTATACAAACATCAACTCCTTCACACATCTAATAGATTGCATCCCTTCTCCTAAGAAGGGGGCAGACAGAGGGAGGAGGAAATGTTTTATAAAATAGAAAGTGGGCTGATAAAATGTGACACAAAGCACCAGAAGCATCTGCAGCACAATTTACTTCCAGTCTGTATTCAGACACTAAAGAAATATGCACAAGTTTGGGGTCCAAATATACCTAACGGGGTTCAGATAAGAAAGCCATCTTGTATAATCTGACAGTCTCTATAGCAGACCACAGTAGCCTTCAGACTACAGTAGACTTCACTGTTTGTTTGTTTTCATCTAGAGTTCCCATAATTAGCTAAGTACAACTAGAGATTTATTAGTTTAGATGATGCCATTTACCAGATTGGTTTTGCTGTCTATTTCAGCAATCGGTCCTCTTTGCTTTTAATAGTTAAACTATTAAATTAGCCATTAAGTAAAGTGCTTCTTGGCCTTTACCATTCTCTGGGTATTCTCTTTCCATCAAAATCATGGAGCCCATGTCAATCATATTGTTCTTTACCTGCATTCCCCTGGTAGAGAGAACAGCAACTGCAGCCCTTTGCAAAAATGCCAGTGACCTCATTATCTGTATCTTTGTCAAGGCTTTGAAGCAGTAAATTTTGCTCAGTGGTATGTGATATTCCATACACGTAATCCTTTCTTCTGCAAGATACCAAAATCGAACAAATTTTAAACGATGTTGTGAAGCCAAATTATTAGTTATATATCAATTTTATTTTCAAAAGTAAAAGAATGCATTATTAATGCATACACTGGTTCAATTAATTATCATAGGTCAGGGAGGTCATATTTAGTGGGTTAATTTTGAAATGATTGGTGAAGAAATTTAATCTACTTTGATGGAGGATTTAAAAACAATTTTAACAAATATGTTAATAAATGTAGTTTTAAATACTAAATATTCTTTATAGGTTAGGAAGTGAGAAGTCTTACAAAGTAACTACTAATACAAACCTCCACTGTTATGGAGAAATCATTTTGTTTTACTTAGTGAATAAATATAGAAATTCAATTTAATGATGTCTAAAGAATAAATATAGAGTAACCTGAAATTTTATAATGAATTTTTTATGAATAATGCTTCAATTTTCCCCTTTGTCATGAATAATGGCTTTTACTTTTTCAAAGCACTTGTAAGTAATTTCAATAAATATTTTTGATTAAGCATCCATGAAATGTGTGTGTCCAAGTAGAATTTTAACCATGGCTAAATGAGATTATGTGGTCTTTAATATTTTTTTAAAAATTTTATTTCTGATAGCTTCTTGTGGTGTGAGACACAACTGAGCTCAGTGTCCTATCCCCCAGCAGAATAAATGTTCCTCAAGCAAGCTGTTAACTCAGAATCATGGAGTGTTTATGTACACTGTTAAATTCAAACAGATACGAAATGCTGCTTCTCTCTTCTTGACTATTAAACCTTAGAATTTGTTCTCACACATATTCCTCAGATTCCTATTCATGTTTATTACCAAAGTTGTGTGATTCTTTTGCTTTGTTAATTCTTTCCTTCTACCCAGGTTTTATTTTCCAGTTCCCCCCCCCCCGGGTCGTGTGGGGATCTAACTCTACCACACTGTCTGGTTATTTAAAAGGATACAGGAATAAAGAGAATGGACTCATTTTAAAGGGATATAGCTCAGTGGCACGGTGCCTGCCTAGCAAGAGCAAGGTCATCAGTTCAATTCCTGGTACAAAAGTAAAAGGTAACCTCCATAGGCAAGAGACATATAATATGTTTAATCAGGAGAAGACATTCCATAGCAAACAAGAGGCGAAATGGGTTTATGTAGTAAATAAAAGTTTCAGGGAAAGGTGAGAATCCTTCAGTTAATCTAATTAATCTACAACAAAATTATTGAGGGCTGCTTTTATCTACTAATACTGTCATATTCCAAGAAGAGACTGGAAAGCCTGTGGGTCCAAACAACAATAAACTTCAACTGTATGATGCACCAAAGTTTCAGCTGTCTCTAGGTTAGTCACTCTGGCACAGCAACTACAAGACATAAAATTAGTTCCTGTTGACAAAATCATGGGAAATTTCTTGTTCGCAGTGTGTGCCTTTGGCAAGAATTTAGAGGTTTGATTACTCTGCATTTGTGTCATTAGGATAAGCTGTTCTGTTCTGTATTCCTTTAATTTTACTTGAATTTTATAGAGTTGTGAAGGTGCTTATATGAGCTGCTGATAATTTCACTGTTTGGCAACTACCAGAGGTAATCTTCCAGAGTATCATGACTGACTGATAATGGAATTTTTGTGATTTTTACCACACATGAAACAGATAATCAACCTCAGATTCCCCAAGCCCTCATTCTCCTGAGGGACTTTGTGCCAAAATTTATTCAGTCAGTGTTCTTCATTGCAGGAAAAAGAATAAACTCTTGTTAATTTAAATAAATAAGAATCTTTCCTGGGCATGGTGATCCACCCATGTAATGCCAGCCCTTGGGAGGCTGAGGCAGAAGTATTGCTATGAGCCTGAGCCCAGTCTGGGCCTCACCCAGTGAAATCATATCTCAAAAAGAAAATCTTTATAAGGATAACAAGCATGTTGTGGGAGTGGGATATTTGCAAAGCACAGGCTTAGATGCCAAGGGAGAAAAGATGGTGGAATAAAACAAGATGACATACAGAATAATCATAGCAATACCTTTGGCAAGACCACCATTTGATAAGCACCACACATTGCAGGCATTTTATGGTGACTTTAACAAGTATTCCATTTCTCTTAAATGTTTGAAAACCATATGAGTCAAGTTCCAGGTGGGAGCAATTAGACTAGTCAATATCTATGTGTCCTCTGAAACTTGAAGTGATTATCCTTTAAAATAAAAAGGTACATATGAAAATTGACTGGTCTCAAAAAGCACTAAGCAGAATTGAAAGATAATAGAAAGTATTTTATTCTGCATAGGACAAAAAGTAAAATGTATGGAAATTATTATAGCAAGATATATAGTTTGATTATG